ATATCTGATAATTAAAACTATTGAAAATACTGAAACCATGGTTTAATATCAATTAATTCCTTTTCAAATGTATCTAAAGTAGATTTATAAAACTAATATATCTTGTAAAATGACTTAGATAAACGATTTTCTGACGAAAGCGGGCCAATTAAGTAATCTTGAAAAATCTAGGAGGAAAAAAATCTCTGTAGTAAATTAGGATTAATCTACTAAAAAGATTATAAAAAAACACTCTTTGCAGACGTCACGAGACAAAAACAGCTTCTTCCTCCCGTATCGACAAGGTTAATCTACTACAGTCAAACCACTTGAGTATAAAATGCCGCTTGAGTATTGGAGTCAAATCACTGACTGAACAAGTGAATGAATGCTTTTCCAAATGGTAAAAATAGAAGTCTAGTTATATATTGCAAACATATATACATATATATATTTAACAGAATTACATATAGAAGTATAGTACAGTAACTTATATAGAAGTATGGGACAATATATAAGCTACAATTACACACATATTAATAAATTGATATTTATGTATATTTAATTTTAACAAAATAATTTTCTTCTAATTAAAAATATAATTTATATATTTTTCTCGCTGTAAACATGTTATTAATTATTGCTAAACTTGTCTTGAAAATACACTACTAAATAAGTTTAGCTGTGAAGATTTCCTTTGTTTACTAACTTACTTTAAATTAGGCTTATATCTAGCTTAAATTCTTTAAAAGTAAAATCTAAATCAAGCGTAGATTCAATTTTAAGTGTCTTGAATATCATAACTGCTATTAAATTAAATAAACTGGGTAAATGAAATCTAATTAAATATAAAATTGACTTATAATATATGCAAAGGAAATGAAAACTTCTGAGATTATATCTTTTAAAAATTAAAGTTAATAGGCATAATTCTCTGGGGTAAATAGTCTAATAAAGTAAATTTGAATTTAATATAAAAGGAAAATTAATTTTGGTGAGTTTATTTATAAAAGTTCTTTAGTTAAGCATTTATGAAACAAAGTGCTTTTGTGTAAAGGCAGCATCACGACAGATGCTTCTTAATTAACACGCAACGTTACGTACTGAAATATTTAAAATTAGAAAAGCTTTAAAGACAAAATTTATTGAAATAATACGGACATTAAATTAAAAATATAAACATAAACCTTTGAAAAAATAAGATTCATGCAAATTTTAAATTTTCGAAACAGCATCACTTCTTATCCATTACAATGGACTCTAATCAAGTAACTTATCGAAAACTCCGTTATCACTAATTAATTTCAGAATTATATAAAATTATTACCAAGTTTTTTTTTTGGTTAATAATCTGATAGTTTAGGATTAAACAATTTAAATTAATTAAATTTTCAAATATAACATAATTTCCATTCTTACGAAAAAAATGATAATAATTGAAAATAAAAATATTTTTCCTATAAAATAAATTCTTATAAATCTGTTTTATTAATCGAATTAATCTAAAAATATTCTAACTTAAAAGTTTATGAAAAAGTCTATAGCCTAATAATTTAAAACTGTTTGTTAGATTTATACATTAATTTAAATTTTTATATTAATATAGCATTAAAAAGTTAAATGAACAGTTTATGTCTTATAATATGAGTCTTAATAAATTAAAATATAAAAGTTTCTTCTTTTGGTTTAAAATTTTTCCGTTTTTATGAGCGTAAATATATATAAGGATGCCTTAAATTCGTATTTAAGTAAATTACAGCAATAATAATATTATTTAAAAAATTCTCGAAGGCCTAAATTTTTTTTTAAGAAAGAAAAAAAAAGAAATAGTTTTGATAAATCTGCATAGTTCTATAACCATTTAAAAATGATTTTGCAAAGAATTTATATTGAAGCTATTGAAGCTTATGAACAAAAATGTTTCTGTATAATGTACACAAAGAAAAATTTAGTCAGTTTTTAACTCATTTTTCTCAAAATTGAAATTCACAAATTGCCTAAAAACTATTTTGACTTACACAATTCCTCTATAAGAGGAATGAATTTATCTTCTCGGACTCTTTGTTTAATGTACCAAGTCCACATACAAAACATCATAAAAGCAACAAGAGAGAGTGCCAACAACATCAAAACGCCGTCATTTATATTCAACATAGAACGGAGAAAATAATTTGTGGCAAGTTCATGTGCCGCCCACGACTCGATATGTACAACAGATTTAACAATCGACAACCAAATTAATATTCTACTCTTTCCTAATGCAAGGGAAGTATATTAAGTGTTATAAAATTGTAGTTTCTATTACGATGGGGTGGAGATAAGCCTTTGAGTACATCGATATCTTTCGAATTAAGAAGCAACTGATACCTCTTTATAAAACGTTTTCTTTATATTTTATTGTCATTATCAAATATATGTCTAATTTGTTTCACTAAAAATTAAACTCGCTTTTATAAAGATGTATTCGTTTCTACGATTTCGTTTAAACTAAAACTAGGAGCGTATTTATTCAATTTTTCTTGTAAAAATTTTATCTTGTGAGTTAAAAATTCATATGAAATATTGTAAATATATATTAATTTTTAAAAATATATTAACTTTCTAAATTATATACCATTTCCGTTTTGTAGAACATTGTAACATGCTCATCATTTACTCGTTGTTTAAAAATCGAAATTTAAATTTATTTCCTCATACAGAAGTTTAACTGTGGCTTGAATTATTTTGAATACGAATGGCTATTAAATTCATTTTAAACTATAAAGAAATCATCGAGGTTAGTGCAGTTTATTTTCATTAACTGCCCACTGCTGCTTATAGCGTATAGTATTTTGGAGCTGGTGTATTCCGTCCCGCCCTCCTGCCAGCAGGGAGGATGGACACTTCCCCTCGCAGATTGGACTAGACTCGGGCGACAAATTGCAAACAGAAGGAGGTCATTACCGCAGTCCCGACTCCATTGCGTGAGTAGCCTTGGGGACGGAGCATTATTTTCGCCGAGCAGAAACCTGTCAGCAGTACCCCTCTCCCTATTGGTCTGTGTCTGTGTCAGATCTGAGAATATGTTATGAATAGCTCATCCGTAGAGAATTGCAGACTGTTTAGTACTGTTCACCTTCAGAAAATTTAACTTCTGTTTGATGCTGTATAACATATATCACAGAATGAATCTTGATTTAAATTCTAACGGCCCTATTTTTTGCACTCTGACTACGAGTGAGTAAAATGTAGCTTACTTTACTTCATTAAACAACAAAGAATCGTCCCTATTGATTTTAAAGAATCAATAAATGTTCCCATCCTTATAACTTCAACTGACAACGGATCTACAGACTTAAAAATAGTATAGATTTTAAGTAGGCCTTAATTCTGTTCTAAGCGATTTGTAAAAATTGAATTTTGAATATTTACAAAACCAAAACAAGAAAGAAACTTTAATAAGAAAACGAATTTTTAGGTTAATTTTTAATTTCTTTTAGTATTTCGAATTTGGTTATGAAAAATATCTTAATACACACATATTGCTGTATTAAAGAATTTAGCTTAAATCTTTATGATCCTTCGATTATAGAGCATTATCAAACGAAAGTAATAAATAATATTACGTGAATTTGCATTTACCTAGCATAACTGATGTGTCATCATCCCATTGTGAAATACTTACTTGTTAATAACATAATGAAAAAGATTGGATATATTATCCGGAATCTACCGTCGTTTTTAATGCTTCCAATTTATAGATGTTGAGATTTAAATTAAAATTACTCGTGTATGAAATATTATTATGTTAAATAGAAATAAGAAAAGTATTGTTGAATTTAATTAATGCCTTTACACAAAAGTAGTCAATATTACTCATTTACATGAAAATAATTTTGACCTAAATATGAAAATTTTATTTATAAATCTCAGTTATTTCCAACGTTCTATTGCTCCTTTGCATTTTTTCGAAACGTTATTGCTAGTTTCATCTAAAGAGAAAGTGCTCGAAAAATATCGATTTTTTATAAGTGAGATTCAGAATTTCGCTTAAAACAGCCAAACAGAATAAACAAAGACGTAGACAGTTTAAAGTATACAGTGCCTACATATCTATTCAAAAGTGAAAGTTTTACTACAACATTTAAAATTTGATAAGCGTAAAATTTTTAAAACGTTTATATTAAATCAGATTTCGATAGGCCTACAAATCTAAAAGATTTTATTCACGTTAAATTTACTATAAAAAACGTTAAAACGAATTTTTGTAGTGAATTCCAACTTTAAAAAATATATACGCGGAATGTTTATATTCAGACGAAAACTTGCAAAATAATTCATTAAGATTCTGACGGCGCGCATTTTATTCCATATTATTATCAATTTTTTTTTTTTTTAGTTTATTTTAATGAAAACGTGTTTATCCGTAAATATTAATACGATCATATAATTACATTACAGGCTGCAAATAGCGTATAACGTAGGGAGCATGTGGATACTCGATCCGTTATGACGCATTTGAGTCATAAAAATAATTTAAAAGCCGATTCGGTTGGTATTCCCGCCTCGTACATAAACAGAATGGTTGAAAGAATGAGAAGACAAGCTCTTTGGCGACAAACAAGAGCTTGTCTCCCTTACAGCTCGTGGTCTGGTTAGGACATTCCCCCTCTTACTTTATAGCGGTCATAAAACTGCCGAACGAAGAATTCCAATTGGGTCGGTGCCTCTTAAACGGCCGGTCTCTCGCACTTTTATGGCACCGCTAGTGAGCTAGTGAGCGAGTCTTCTAGTAAAATTATGGCTCTGAGGAAAGGTTTATAGTCCTACTGCTAGCCCGGTTTATGGGCGAAGGGAGGAGAGTACGTCCCTGACAGGAGAACCGTTGAGAGAATATTTACTGCGTTCTGGACCGTTGAAAACGGCGAGCGACCCAGTACGCCGCTGTCTATCGCACCTAGCTCGGCTAGGAGAAGGACCGAACCATTGCTCGAGACTTAACTGCTACATCGGAACGTAGAAGCCAAGAAATTTGGACTTACTTTGACCGACGTGGACTTTTCTCATCCATGGATAAATCTGTGGTGTTGTGTAGTTCTGTTTCTGCGACGCCGACTGTCCTCCCGGTGACTGCGGTTGAGGTGTCGGCGATGTCTGTTGATGGGGTTGCTGTGGTGGTTGCGGAGAAGGCTGCTGAGCCGACTGTTGCTGTTGTTGGTGGGATTTTTGTTGGACACCGACGGGACGTGGTGTGGGAGGCGAAGACTGGGGATCGGGACTCGAAGGTTGGTGCTGCTGATGTGGTCCTGTTGTCGTGAGGTCTTGCGGCGATCCACCCGTCGAGGCCTCGGCATACTTGCAACTCGGCACTGGTGTAGCCGACGGTGTAGGAGTTCTCGGACTTTGGGTTTGACTCGGATGATTCAAACGCTGAGCGCAACTACTGTAAGGATGATGGTCGCCGTTCTGAAGGTGGGGTACATTTGGTGCGCTATATGGCGGACCGTATTGTTGGACAGGTGACGAGGGTCCGCTATAACAGTTCCCGTAAGCTTGTTGTACTTGTGGCGTATAATAGTCAGCGGAATCCTGACTGCCACGACCGTAACACGACGTAAGTGTATTGACGAATTGGTAGGAACTCATCTGTTCCGTTTGATTTGTGGCACAGCAATAATGGTGCCAATATCCTTTGCAATTTTGATGAATTATGGCCACACTGCACTCCGGGAAACCTCTGGCACACTTTTAATAGCGCATTATTCCATATATGGCACAGCCCATGCAACCACGTGACGAACGGCGACCAATCATGTCCCACCATAAGTTTCAGTACATAATCACGGTGTATAGTTTACCACAGAGCTACGAGGCGTCGTAGGGACGGCGGATTTGCTAATCGTCGACGACAATCCCCGACTGTTATGTCGCCCCGAGCTCCTCGACCGAAAGATACAATCTCCTATCTCGCACCGTATAGCTGCTCGGCTTTCGGCAGACAAACAATTCTAAGTACTTGCTTGCTTGGAACGAAATACTATCTGGCCTCTTGCAATAAAAGTCAAGTTAATTTAAGCTTCTGCTAACTCTACCGGGATTGGATGCCTACCGTTGGAAACTCTTTGAAGTGTTATCGTCAACGAGAGTCAGCGGTGGCGACAGCTCCCGCGTGCAGTTCCGTCTGCCTCTCAGGCCGCGTGGTGGAACACTGATAACGTCTGCCTCAAGTTTCCAAACCCCGGGTTCGATATAGACGGAGAATAAGTGAGAGAGGTCGGACGCTAGGGAGGGCAGAAACAGGGACAGAAAGAGAGTAGCAACCCCCCGAGCCACGCACACACCGCGCCCCCTTCTCAGCTGATCGATACGGTCTCTGGACGAATGAGACGCTCCGTACATACGCCGAACCAGCAATCACATTATAATTTCTTCCCCTTCAATTAATATCTGCCAACGTTTCTCGGACTCGAGTTTTTTCCCCTTCTTTTGCCTCCTTTTGCCTTGCTCCGAGTTGCCGACCAACCCGCGTACGGATCTCGACCGAATCGTAACCCCTCGGAGCGAGACTATAGGTGCTGTAACACGCAGGTCTGATAGCCAGCGGGTCGAGAGTCGCGGTGAGTCCCTTTGTCGTTTCCGTTTGTCCTTGATCGGGACTAGAATATAATCTTCAGCAGATGTATTTTTTTTCTCCTAAAAAGTGAAAAACAACGGGAAGCAAAGACCGGCCTAACCTCCGGGAGAGTCGAAACTGTGAATTATTCATTATGTGCCGTAAGCATTGAAAGCTTGTCCGTCCACATAGGAGGAGGTACGAGCGTTTTACTGCCTACCTGTAACGATTAGGAACTCATTATAGTGTTAAGTAAACCCCAGCCATTCGAGGCAAAACTAAAAATGGTTCGATTCGCCCGTTCTAAACCAAATAGAATGTGTTTGTTTGATTTATTATAGTCCCAAAGCCGTACCCCACAAGAGAACACCAGTCATTTTCCAGAAAGTACTTACTTACTGTCTCTAAGTCCCTTAGCATTATACGAAGCGGGAGCAGTCCCTAGTGACTAGGCCTCTCGTGTAATCAGGTGCAGAACATTTCTAAAATTGAGATTCGATGCCGCTTTTTCATTATTGGGCAAATCTTATAAGGTTCTTCGAGATAAATTAGTCAATAATAAATAATAATTGCGCGTTAGTATCTTCCAAAACCACAACAAAGAGATATTAGGCTAGAGATTAGGCCTTGCCTCTAAAACGAAAGCTCCACGCAGTTTTAAATGTCAACTTCCTAACGAACCTAAATTCATTAAAGATAAAGTAGTTATCGTAGATTTGTAGATGTTAATTTGTTTTGTAGAATAGACGAATTCATTGAGAGAAAATAGGGGCCATCATACAAGACCGGAAAGTAAACAAAGATGGCGTCTCTCTTCAGTAGCAACATAACGAATTCTACAGAATTATAAGTATTGTCGCCACCTGCTTTGCAGATATAAATTGTCAATCCGGAAAACGTTACTAGGGATATATAAACGTCTCACTTTTCTGTTTTGTTTTCGTTTCTTTGGTTACAATACTATTTCTAACGTTATCGGTTGCACTATCGCCAATTTTGACGGTTAGGCTTAATTTCTAATAGCTCTAAATCAATGATATTGAATGCTATATTACAAATTATATTAATTACAATTATTATTCCAGCTCTAGAACAACATATTTTCTTCCCAATCATCGCCTACAATTCTAAAATCACTAAATTTTGACTTACAGGCCATGCTTTGGAAATAGATTTTTGTGCTTAAATTTATTTAAATAAAAATTAAATAATTAATTTTAAAGTATAGATTATTCAACATTCAATAATTGACTTATCTATCATTAAAATAAGCGCATTTTTAATGTTTTATATTGGATTTTCGTTTGATGGTTGGCATATCTGTTTGACCTAAATAGACGTTCTTGGAATTCTTGTTGATCTACAATAGTTTAGTTGTCAACTGGAAATTAATTACGGATTAGTAAAATAAGATATTAAAAAAACAAAATAATGCTTAGTTAACCGTATTGTTGCTTTAACGGCATCTCTTGTCAAGAGAAATCCTCTTATCCAATAGAATGATTGTCCTTAACTCTTAAGCTACAAAACGTTAAATTATCTATAATTTATACATAAAATAATCCATTAAATACATGCATTCTCACCAATTCGTTTCTGACTGCGTGAGAACGTAGACATTATCACAACCGTTGTCACATCTCTGAGTAAAAGATAAGCAGAATTTCCGGTCTTTGCCGTATCTTAAGCCTCATAGTCCGCTGGCTGGGCCTCCGGGTTGCCGTTCTAACTGCAGTCCTGTATTCTTTGACACGCTATCCACTGGCGTTTATATAGATCCACTGTTCGTTGGTTGTGATGCGTGCGTGATTTACTGGACAAAATCCCCAGAGGCCCCCGACTAGATCGGATGGGGGCAGTCTATCTTCTTAAATACGAGGGGGGTGAAATTTCAAGAACGTGATGAACTTTGCTTTCGTGGAACACATGTGTTGGTTATTAGATATGTTGACCCCTTCTACATTACATCTTTTTTCTTTATTTAGAAGAGCACATGTAATTATGATAATGTTTTCTATCAGTAAACGAAGCCATTACTTCAATTCTATCTGATTTTTTTGTTAATTATTTAAATTAGATAGGCAATTAAATGCATCAAAATAAAATATGACTTTGTTAGAAACTTATTCTTACTAATCACTAAAAAATTTTCAAAATGTAGGTATATAAAATGGTTCCAATAAGTATACAAACGTATAACAAAAATATAATTATTATTAATTATATCTTTGTTATACATTTATATAATTAAAAGGTTGAAAATTTTATTGTGATTAATAAGAAAAATATACTAAAATTTTTATTTTTAACATAATTAATGTAAGCTATTTTATAAATTTTAAAAGATTTTAAATAACTTTCATAAAAGTATGGTTATATTTTATCCTTTATTTTGCATTGAAAGTTATCATGAAAATGTTTACATTACATTAAACACAATACTAAAGCAAACACATTGATTATTTTCTATACCCTTTAAATGCATAGAAATAACCAATACCGAACACATTTACCCTTTTTCAAAGAATAAATATGATCCTAATTCTATTATTGATTTTATAATATTCTAAAATGTACTATATTTAAATGTATAAAATAATTCTTCGCTCTTCATACAAAAGGAAACATCGACCAATCATCTACAGATAAATTTTTATCTTAACTCCAAATAGGAGGTTAAAATAAAGATTTTTTTTTTAATGGAAGTTATCCTGATGTTCTTCCTTACAATGAGCTTTACAATTCTTTTATATATTTAAATATAGCACAATATATTAGAAAACCGTTCATGCGAATTGCTTCGACATATTACATGGATAATTACTACATATGGAATTCAATTAAGTAGAATTTTTGTTATATGAAAATAAAATAAAGTCAACATAAAGAATCGATAGAAATAGCCCAATTTACTTAGCAGATATGAATAGAAAAATGTTAAATTTTTTAAAATTTAAGCAAGTTTATCGTAATACGTTTATTTCGTTCAAAAATGAACAAAAATTTTAATCAAAGTTTGTTGAAATGCATTATTTACTACAACATCAAATAAACTCGATATTTTTACCATTAAATAAATTGAACTGATTTTCTGTTTTGGCAATTTATTTTGAAAAATGTTATAAAAGTAGAGTTTTTTTTTAATTTCCATTGAATTTTTGTTTTTTTTTAGCTTTGGATCTTTATTAAGAAATTCAGTTTACATCAAGTCTTATAATTTTATTTGTTAACCGTTACAAATGCTCTATAAAGTACATAAATTTCCATAGTTCAAAGCACTAGAAATAAATCAAGTACCAAAAATTTTATATTAGTTTCTAGATATTTTTAAATAGTTTATAAAATTATTTAATTTTCTTATTTATAGTTTTAAAAGTTAAAATTTCAATTTTTAATAAATTAAATGAGTAATTTTGATTTATAATATGTTAAATAATACTTTTATAAAATTAAATATAATTTCTTAAGTGAAAATTTCATTTTTATTTGTAAAAAATAAATTATAAAACACATTTTTCCATAGTATAATCTCGTCTACTGAATAAAAAATATTATTATTTATTTATTTATTGCTTAAATTTTGTTTTTTTTTTTAAAGAAATTTCATTTACTAAAATTAATTCTGAATGAAAATTTTAAACAATGTTTGAATCTGTCAATATATTTTATAAATATAGATTTTAAGTATATAAATTTATAGCAAAGACTAATAAACAATATTTATTACTTTTTATTACATTTATATACCTGCAAACTTAAAATTGTATAATAATTTTTATTGTAATTAGTAAGAATATCCCTTGTAAAATACTTTAAGACGAGTTAATTATCTATTTAATTTGAATAATTAACAAAAATAGTACAGGATTGAAGGAAATAATGTCTTCCTTTACTGATATAGCCTATATCCTATAACAGTGTTTCTCAAACACGGAATCTTGAAGTTCCGTGAAGAGATGTAAGAGGTTCCTCTAGACGAAAATGCGTAACGGCAAGGAAACATTTCATTGAAAGTCCTAAATTTGTATGTATGGCATTCAGTATTAATCATTCGGCCATTGATAGAGCGTGAACAATTCATAGTTGATTCACTCTAGAAGCTTTTTAAAAGACAAATAATTGTTAACATGTTATATTTTTTATTTATTTGTTTTATCTACTAAATAAAATGTATATTTTATAGGTTAATCTACCAGAAATTGCAACTCAGCTTTGTACGGTGTGATATAGATAAATAGGGATTGCTCATTAGGTTCTATACGCTTTACAGTTCCACGTGTTAAAATAAATTGAGAAACATTGACTATAGAATCGATTTGTACAATAATTCTATTAAGAACATAGAAGAATGCTTAAAAACAATGTTTGAAAACATTATTTAAACTAATTTTCATACGAATTTATTTTCCTTGATTCAATATTCAATACGAATTTTTGGTATTTAACACACGACAAATCTAATTTAATAAAATTTTATTTAAAACATTTAATGCAGTATATAATTAATGTGATTGTTGTTGTTATAAAAAATATACTATAATAAAAATAATTCAATTTATTAAACATTTTCAGAAACATTCAATAAAATAATATAAATTTAGTAAGAATTTATTGTAAGAAAAGTGTAAATTTTGTTTTATTAGAAATTTTGGATCGATAAAAACGATTTTAATTAATTAAAATATCAATAATT